ACCAGTGGGAGGGGCTGTTGGAAGGCGGTGATGCCTGTGGCCTGGGGCAAGGGCTTCAGCTGGGACTTTGAAGGACAGAAGTGATTGCTTATGATCTCCCAGGAGGTCAGTCTACAGAAAGGCTTGGAACAGCCTGGTCCATAGTGTAGCGCTCAAGGATCTCCCTTTTTATTTTTTCCATTTGATGTCAGAACCCGGCATGTGGAAGTCATCTGGGAAATTTTTGTCTCTGGGCTCCACCCTGCAGACTCGAGGGCCCTTCTCGCATGGCACCTAAAGTGGGTCACCTTTATCTCTCCCTCCTCCTAGGCTTCTGGTTTCCCTTTCAGAGGCCTGGTTGTGTTCTCGGGCCTCTCTCCAGACCCTCTTGCCATTGCCCGGGAGCCTCCTTTCTCCTTAGAAAGATCCTGCCTCCCTGGGGCCTGGCTCCGATCTGGGATGGCATTAGTTATATGAGCGTCTCATTTCAGTATGGGGGTAATGACTGCTAACTGTTCGTTTGCTATACCTCCCAGTAGGATAATTGCCTTCTAACAGGAGCTTTTTGTAACTAATGCCTAATGCAAAAGCAGGGCTCTCTGGCAATGACCTTTCGGGGGCTCTGAATCTTCAGAATCTCTTCTTGTTGCCCAGACCCTCTGATGCTGTGTTAAATAGTTCATTAGTCCTCCTGTTTTCTGGAGCCTGCACTCTTTTAGAGCAGGGAGGGGGCCTGATATCCTCTGTCCCCGTCACTTAGCCTAATGCCTAATATAACATCAGGGTGGCTACAAATGGGTGGACACAAGTGGTGAGGCAAACGATTTAGGACAAGGATATTTGGAAAACTCTGTTACCCTGACACTTCAAGCCAAAGCATGACATTAAATACCTCCCCCCAGAGATTCTCTAACTATAAAGTCCAATCACGTGGGTTGTTAAATATGCAGATTCCTGTCTATCTCCAGAGAAGGCTATGAACCTGCATTCTTTTTTTTTTCTTTATTGATTAAGGTATTACATATGTGTCCCTATCCCCCCATTGCCCTCCCCCTCATGCCCCCACTCCCCTTGTTGTCTGTGTCCATTGGTTAGGCTTATATGCATGCATACAAGTCCTTTGGTTGATCTCTCCCCCTTACCCCCACCCTCCCCTACCTTCCCTCTGAGGTTTGACGGTCTGATCGACACTTCTCTGTCTCTGGATCTGTTTTTGAACCTGCATTCTTTACAAGCTCATCAGCTGAGTCTGCAAAAACACTGGACCTCCTCTGTGGGATGTTTGTCTTGGGATAAATGATCATATCCTCTTAGCCCATTTTCTCTTCTGTAAAATGGGGTTGTTCAGAGAATCGCAGTGAAAAAGGTGCAGAAGCACACTGAACCAGTAAAAACGGGGCAGGGCAGCCCATTTGCACCAGAATCACCTGTCCGAGGAGATTTCCCATTTGTTTTTTTCTCCCCTTGCCCATTCTGCATCCAGGTAGATGGGTACTGAAGCCTGGCACTAACTCTGTCATTTTAAGTTGGCATTGGAGAAGATGTTGTCATTGAGGTCAAGAAGTACTGGCTGGTTTGGAGTGGCCCTTTGGGAACTGGGTGCTAGTCCCATTGTTCTTTACTCTCTAATGGAGGAGAAAGGTGTTTTGTTTTGTTTTTAGGATTTGGGGATTTTTTTCCTGAGTTCTTTGAAGATAATTGTGGGCAGGAGCATCAGTGATTTTTTTCCCCCCTCAGGAAGTATTTATTATGCGCCTACCATTGACTCAGAAGATATTCACTAAATGCCTATTGGTCATCTAGGACTGAAATATGCAAAGTTGAAGAATGTGTATTCATGAGTTCCATAACTTTGCTTGAATGATATATTATTTTTGCTGAAAAGGACGTCCACAAAAGTGCAAAGCATCTATCAGATGCTGTCTCCCATATGTTCTATTCATTCACTCATTCAATCACTTACTCATTCAGCCAACATTGATTGAGTACCGAATTTGTGCCAGGTTCTGGGGGAGGCACTTGGGGTACAAAGATGAATTTAAACATTGATGACACTCCCAAGAAGTTTACACTTTCATTATTTGGACAAGATAGGTGAGTAAATGCAATTAGATACTGTGACTAAGGGCTGATATTACTGTCCCAGACAATAGCAATTAAAGGAAGCACTTACATTATGCTAGGTACTATGCTAAACCCTTCATATGAACCATCTTACTTTCCCCTCAAAATATGGTGTAAGATTCTATTATTATTCTTATTAGAGATGTAATGAGGCTTAGAGATGGTAAGTAAGTTGCCCAAGGTTACACAGTAAGTCAATATGAAAGGCAGGCTTACCCCCTGGCTAATTGCAGCACCACCCTCTCAATCACACCTTCTCTTTCCTGTACTGAAGTTGGTGTATGGCCATAGCTCAGAAAAGGCCAACAGCAGTAAGAGCAACATTGGTGGTGACAGTTTATCAGGTGTGTGCAAAGTGCCAGGTGCTCCATGTGCTTATTTTCTCACTTTACCCAAAAGACCATGAGGAAAACCTTGTTGTTGTCCCCATTTTATAGATGCAGAAACTGAGGCTCACAGGCATTAAAGTTTTGTTCATATCTACCCAGCTGATAACCAAATGCATTGGGATTCAAACTTGGGTCAGATTGACCCCGAAGCCCTCACTCCTACTTTGATTGCTGATCAGAGGTCGAACATTCAGCATCTCTCAGAAAACACCTCTGGTTGTGCTCTTCTGTCATGAGTTTGAATTTACACAACCAAGCAGACCACTTAGGCATTATTTAAACAGCACCTTATTTGGGATGGCCCACCCTTGCTAGGTCTTTGGATCTATGGAAGTGATGAGTTACATGATTATCAATGGGTTAAATGCCCTCTCCTTACCAGCAGTTGTCATCATATCACAATGGTCCAGAAGTGAGAGAGAGAGAGAGAGAGAGAGAAAGAGAGAGAGAGAGAGAGAGGAGAGAGAGAGAGAATGAATATTGGTGGAAGAGTTAATTTATATGGCTCGAAGTTCTTGCTCTCTTAGGCAGACCAACACATGCGATACTGGCAAGTATTTTTGTAAAGAGCAGATACCATAAAGGCTTACAAATTATTAAGATTTCAAGACACACTTTTTAATTAAATCTTATTTTTAAAAATCCCACTCCAGGGAATATTGGTTTTCTTTTACAGAACATTTACATCATTTCCTTGGGGCCCTAAATGCGGCACAGAAGACGTTTGCCTCTTTCTCTTCATCATATACAGCAGGGTCTTTGACAGCACTTATAAATCCCAAACCCGAGGGAGCCTCACGCTCACCTTCCAGTGGTGACATTCCCAAAGTCATTACTATCTCATGGGTCAAAACCAAACCTGTTTCCCAATCCAAATTACTCACATTTGGTGATGGTTCATGTCCTTTAATATTCTCTCTCTCTCCCTCCCTCCCTCCCTCCCTCCCTCCCTACCTCACATATTTGCAATCTCAGTGGGAGTCTCTCTCTCATTTGCAATCTCAGTGCGAGTTTTGTTAAAGTTGTGTAATCCCTGATCAACTTACTTTTTCCATGTTTCCATGCGCCATCAGGGTACTAGGAGTGTGTGCAGGGTCAGTTCTCTTGGGTTTAGTCTCTATTGTTGTGCTGTGGCTTTAAACTTGCACAGCAAATAACCCAGAA